AATGTAAATTATGCGATTCTGGGTTCCATTAAAATCAAATTGCATTCTTTTTTTTTTTAGTCAACCACACATTTTTCAATAAAATAATATTAAACGTAAATTCAAAACTTTTCTTTCTTTTTTAACCACATATTCTTAAAAAAATCACTATTCCAAAATATATTTTTCCCCAAAATTTGATTTTAATGAAGCCCAAACAAGGACTTAATTCATCTTATTAACAATACGCCATTTTTATCAAAAATGCATTTTTTTAGAACTCATTTTCAACCACACATTTTCCAATAAAATAATTTTACACATAAATTGAACTTTTTTTCTTATTTTTTAACCACACATTCTTAAAAAAAAAAAAAAACACTATTTCAGAATTCATTTTCCCCTAAAAGATGGGGCTCAAACAAGGGCTACATTTTAGATTCTGTCAATTAATTCTTATGCCATAGAATTGAGTAAAGTAGGTTGACAACTTGCATAAAAGTTTTTATAAATGAAGATATAAGTAAATATAAAAATTTATTTATCATTTAAAAATACTTTTTATCATTTTGTTTTGAAATCTGGATAAATATCGAATTATAGTTGTCAAGAAAATTGTATCACATTTGAGAATTTTGCATAGAAATTGTATTCCTTTGCAAATTAAATTTTTAAAATTTAGTTAAAATTAGTTAATTAAGTTTGAAAGGTGTTAATAGTCTAATCTAATACAATTCAATTCAAGCGATAAGTGGTTTTTTAGGCAGTTCATGTTGCAAAATGATTAGCATCTAATTGTGGCAGGATATGGATGTGACTTTTGCAGGAAGTAGGATCCTTGGTCATAGTTTGGTTTGCTTTCCCTTATGGAACTTTAAGTCGAATGCTGTGCAGAATGGCTGCTCCTCATTGCAGTTCTCACAAATCTCCTTCTGCCTGCTTGTTACTATTTATATTTCTGGTTCTGGCTCTCAGTATTTGAAAGGGGATTTTGTTAGACAAATTTTACATCAAATTATGCGTTTCGTTTTATTTGCTTCTGTTATGCCGTATAATTCTTTTCTCCTTTGAAGATGATCTGAAGAATATACCTACCTAGGTTTCACCATTGTATTTTTGTTGCTGCTCTTTCATTGTGAAATTGTCCCATTGACAAGTGAAGTCTCAAGAAGATAAAAACGGATATGATTCGAACCTCTTTGAGATTTTGGATCTGGGTTTGTGACAAATATGCTAATTAACGATGTTTTGAACTAAAAGTTTACCCCCCGTCCCCCCAATTTCTTTTTGACTTGACCTTTTTATCTTTCATTCACGGCGATTCCTAATCTTTATCTATAACATTAATTAGCTCTCGAGGGGTTGCCAAGGTCAAACCATGAACTGGACGTGACTCAACTTGACAGCACGTTTTGTAGATCACTCATTTGTAGAGTTAATTGTTCAAATGATTACTGAATTTAGGTTAATGTCTTTAATTGATCACTGAAGTTTAAAATGTCGAGTTATAGTCATTGAACTTAGATCAATGTCTTCAACTGCTCATTGATCTTAAGTCTGTGTTTTAGATTAATCATTAAAGTTTAAAATGTCGAGTTTTGGCCAGTGAACATTGGAATATACCGTACGTTACTCACTAACATGACTATTGAACTTTAAAAAATATCGAGTTTAGAGTGAGTAATGTACAATATTTTTCAAAGTTCAGTGAGTAATGTTCAATTTCTTTAAAGTTTGTAAGTAATGTACAATATTTTTCAATGTTCAGTAGCTAAAATTCGTTATTTTAAACTTCAGTAAGCAATTGAAGACATGGATCTAAATTCAGTGACCAAAACTCATTATTTTAAATTTCAGTGATTAATCAAAGACATGGATTTAAGTTCAGTTACCATTGGAACAATTAACTCATTATATTGTTTAGATCACTTAATCGGATCCAAACAATCAATTGGGCCTCTAAGTAGGCATGATAGGCATTTGAGGGTCGGAAATTCACTCAAGGTTCTCAACCCCAATTTCTATAGTTTATCAATTTTCCTTTGCGCTTCTTAAAGTGTGTTCTTGTGACTCGTATCCTATATTTACGTATCCAAAAATTGAACAAGCAGCTCCTAGAGTTGATTGTCCAATTTTAACTTGGAAAAGATGGTAAAGTAATTAAGAATTGGAAGTCCGTGTTTGGTTTATCTAATAGAATTGATAAAAATTACAATCAAAAATAAAAATTAATTTTAATAACATATTTCATATAATCCATACAAAATATAAAACGTGAACCATAAAGTTCAATAAATATGATGATGTAATGATGCATGTCAAACATACATGAGCCCAAATCCTTATTATAGTGTACCGTATGAGCTCAGAATGATATGACCTTTTTTTAGCACGCAAACCAATATCAACGCATCCATTGTTGCCCATCGAGACTTAGGATGCCACATCAGTATATCGTAAATACAAATTTAAGGTCTGACCTACATATATACAACGCTCAAGGTGTCTATCCGTAGTCCCTAGGCCACCTAGGGACCTCCTGGCATTGCTTGTATACAGGTGTTGAACTCTAAATACCTTATCCTAAGCTACCCTTAATAACCATCAAAAGCCTCAAAGCGGTGCAGTTATTCGGACACAATAGTATGGTACATCTATAATATGATTCACATTCAAAATTTTCAATTGCAATTCAATCAGTATGACAACACAAGTACACATGATCTTGAAAACATAATTATCCCTACGTTTTTCAAATAAACTCAATGCACATGTAACATCCTATCCTGTCACATAGCAAAAGAAACAATCACATATAAACACATATTTATACATAATTAATGTATTTTGCACTATAGTTGGAAAAACATCAACATTTACATTTTTCGCGATTTCTTTGATCAGTATCTGCATTAATACAATAATCTCTACATTAATCATATCTTATCTTATTATTTCCCGATTATCACATCTAGACTAAACTTATAAGATAATATAGGTTATTTAATAGCATACCCCTAATAAAAATAATGATACGAGTTTATTGTCATTTAGTAGTAATAATAATAACATTAATAATATAAATAAAATTCTCGTTATCGTCATTAACTAAATTACATAAAATTATTACTGCACAATTTAAGTTAGCCAATACACTATCATATTGCTTTCCCATTTTATGCTTGATCCAATTTTCATTTCAATTAACACAAGTATATACATACATCCATACCCATTAGTAAATTTTCTTATTCAATCCATATTCTTCTTTACCACATTTCCATTGTATCTCACCATTAATACTATGCATTATAACAATTTTTCTTTACATCTTATCACTTAACTAGATCAAAGTAATTTAAGTTTAAGCCTCAAGTGCTAATTATTATCTTTCTTCCCATTTGAATTTACCACTTATATAAATATAGTAGTGGCCCAATTTCGATACCTATTATCATGATGATATTAACAATTATTATAACAAGTTACTTTCTATCCCTACTCACTTCTTCTTTACTCACTAGATTTTCCCCCAAAACAATTTTATACAATTCTTAATAATGTAAGTTAAGTAAACTAAAACTCAATATATCTTCAGCTAGTTTATAAGTTTAAGAATTTCCAAAGTTAAGATTTTGAAATGGAAAAAGTATAATTTATCTTTCTTGATTTTATTAATTAAACTTTACTATAATATTATCTTTTATCAATTACTAAAGAACCCTAAAGCAACAAATTTTAATTCCTATTTATAAAACAATTAAGTACTTAAAATAATTAAATAATTATCTAAATAAATAATTAACTAAAGAAAATTTCAAATAATTATTTTAATAAAAAGACATACCTTAAGGAGTGAAAATGATGGGAAAAATGGTAGATCACATTTCACAACTATCCTCTATTTATAGTTGATGGTAGGGATTAAGTGTGCAATTTATAAAATTGCACATATAACCTCTAAGTTAATGTGCAATAATTTGATTGAATTTTAAAATTATATCTTTAGACATTGGATCACATATGCAATTATTTCTTTGTTTATAAAATTGCACCTTTAACCCTTGGACAAATATGCAATTATAAAATTGTATTTTCAATCCTCATAATATTATTTTTAATTACAATCCCTAATAGCATTTCTTCTATCATTAAATTAAGTCCCTAAAATTAAAAACAAACTGAGCACTCCATTTATACTGTGACAAACTACTCTTAATTTCTCTAATTTATTTATTTTTATCCTTAGATTAAAATCATATTAAATAAAATCAAAACATATCAAGGAAATCAAATTTCATAATATAAAGAGTTAAAAGAATCGCCAAGTTTATATTATGCCAAAAGAAAATTTTGTTTTATAAAATTCACCTCATTGCACCTTAATTATATGACTATCAAAAAAATTTTATCAAAAGAAATGCATGCAGATTTTTCAAAAATTTCCTATAGATCTATACTACAGCAGGCTAATATGGCGGTATATTAAAGTCTAAAATTCTTTCATTTTCACTAAACACTTTTACTAGGCATCATTTTCCTATTTTACACAATGCCACTTTACTGTCTACTCCACATACATTATAGTCTTTACATGACGACAAGTGATCAAGTCGTAAACATCAATCATTACTGAAGGAGAAAACGTGTTTTTCCAAAATTGCAACTTATGAGAGGGTAATCTGGACATTTACCACACCTTAAGTTGGTGGACGTTACGTGGTAGCTCCTTATTCGTTCATACCATATAACTTGGATCTGTGTTTCTTTTGGCCGTATGTGGACCGTTCGATTGGATGAACGGTGGAGATCATAATATGGCTGGCCCTTGGTCTTCTAGGGTGCACGGCTGGGAGTGGGGTTTTTCATACTGGCCTTTGAATATCTCTCTCTTTCTCTCTATTTTTGGGAGAATTTTTTCCTTCCTCCTTCTTAGCCCTTAGAATCTGGAGATTGTTATGCTTTTCTAAGATTCTTGTAAATCTTGTGTGCAACAGTAACTAGGATGCAGTTTGTGTAGGCAACCTGTTGTACTTGTGTAGTTGTGGCCGGTTTGTGAGGAAGCAGTGTTGTGTCCAGATTTGAGATCCATTTGGATCGATGATTGATCTGGTTATGCTCTTTGGTTCTGTGTACTGTATTCTCTCTGGGAGGTAGAATTGCACTAGTGGATTGGGCCGACTCTGAGCCCCCCAAATTAAGCCATTCGGGCCGAACTGGGTGAACATTTTTCTGTGTACCTTTATTTTCTTACACTTTACGTTTGTGTTGGTAATGTTGCTCTCGATTTTGGGTATAAATTCCCTACAAATCTGGTATCAGAGCTATTAAAGGAGTGAGTTAAGGCATATTTGAATACAGTTTGATTTCTTGTCGTATTAACGTGTTTACTTCACTTGTGCAGTAACAAGAAAGTGAGATAAATCGATCCTTGGAAGCTAGGGTTTCGGATTCACACCTGTAGAAAATCGTACCTGTTTGTATGAAATGTTACACAGTATTTGGTGAGATCTTATACAATTAAACCACAGTAGTTGTTTGCATGATATAAATGATATATCTGATCTTAAAGTATGCTATTGTGATTTAATTATTCAAATGAATTGAATAAAGTGTTTAATTGTGATAGAAGCATGTTTTAGGAAATTTCATTTTTTTGTAATCTGATTGATTGGTACCAACTGTTTTGGAAATCTAAAATTGATCCTATCCTGTTATTGTGTTTCAGTCAGTACATATTAGATAATTGTTTGTTTGTCATTTCGGGTCTGCTTACTTGTCAATTATCTGCAAAAAAAAATTTCAAAATTTTTTCTATAACTTAAGTGATTTCTTGAATTAAATCACTTATGTCCTCGAGTAGTAACCCTTTTACAGAACCCACAATGGGTTCGAAGGTCGAATTGAGTCAATTCGATGGAAATGGTGACTACTCTATATGGAAACAGAAAATGAGGGTCATTCTGGTCCAGCAGAGGGTTGCAAAAGCCCTTGACGATCCTGAAAAATTTCCTGATGAATTGAAAGCTAAG